CCAATATTTAAAGCAAAAGTAATAAAATAAATCTGCGTTGAAGATTGGATCGCATTGGAGAACTGCCTTGAAGGTAGCATCTGGAGGAAGGTTTCAATTTAAACCATCCCGCTCCACGTAATCAATACAAACTAACGCAGTTTTTATTTTTTTAAAAAAATACTGTGGCTTAAAACGCGAAGGCCTTCATATATATCGCATGATTCTCCTGACGCACACTTGGAGCATGGTGCACCCTTATCATAGATGGGCTGGCCATCATGTTTCCGCTGGAATATTGTCTTTAGAACAATAGAACTTCGTAGCATCTAGTAACGTATTACAAAACTTACGCTTCCTTATAGTTGCAAACGACGAGGGACATAGATGGGCAGTTTTGAACAGCGCAACCAAGCGTTTTTGTTGTCTGCCAAACCATCTGGAAAAGGTATTTCAGTGGAGTCTAAGTCTTCATCTTCAAAAATTCCTAGTGTTTTTCGTAATTCGAGGGAACAGTTTATGACTTGCAGGGGGAATACGGGAACTCTCCAATCTCTGATTTTCCTTCTATAGCAACAAAAATTCGGACAAAAAGAGGGTAAAGCCGGGTATTGAGAAATGAAAATCAAGTTTTGCTAAAATAAAACAACAAAACTCTCACTTCTAATTGATATGCGGACTATGGGCACTGGCAACTGTTATTAAATGCTCGGTCACCGACTTCGCATTTATTTCGATTTTTTTTTATTTCGATTTTCGATTTTTATTTAGATCAACGAAATGGCTTCTCACAAAAATTTGGCAAAATAACTTCCAATGCTACTCATACCGGAAAATCACGAGCAAACTTAGACCAAACCTTGTATGTCATGCTTTCATTGAAAGGAAAGGTATCATATAAATACAAATTAATATAGGTGTCATATAAATAAATATAAATGGCAAGATTTGAAAAAAGAATTTTTTATATTCTGTTTTTTAAAGTTATTTCTGTTGCCTGACCGAACTTGAACTATTACTGCTCTATTTTACCTGAGCGTAATGTCCCACAGTTTGTCCGGGTCGGTTTGCTAGAGTCATTGTGAACATGTTTTCTTTACCAACACCATGCTGGTAGTTCTGCAGCCCATGCGAAAGCTGCCTAGAAAGAACAAATGTCGTTAGTTTCCGCATCTCATAACCTCCCATTCCCACAGCAGAACTTACTCTTCTAGCCATCAAAACCTTGTCGCCAGGTGGGCTTGCCATAAAAATGTTCTCACTAGCATTTTGTCTCGTTCCACGATCTGAATGTTTGAACTGGCATTTGCTCGC